GGGAGGGGGAGGGAAATGGGAGGCGGTGGTGGGGGGGGGGGGGAGGGAAATGGGAGGCGGTGGTGGGGAGGAGGCAGAAATCTTTAATAAATAAATAAATTTAAAAAAGCATTTAAAAAAATTAAAACTAGAAGTATAGGGTTGAGGGTGCAGCTCAGTGGTAGAGTGCTTGTCTGGCATGTTGAAGACACTGGGCTTGGTCCCAGCCCCAAGGTGGGAATAGATCAAATGGGGTCTTGAAAAAAAAAAAGATTTATCTGTTCTGCCTTCCAGTGGATGTTGAGACTTCTTGGATCACAGGTGTTTCCTCTTCCTCTCGCACAGGCCAGTGGCCCCTGCGGTTGGTTTATTAGACTCAGAAGTGCCTGCAGCTACAGTGTTGGCCTGGGCAGAGGCTGCAGCATGACTGTGCTCTGCAGTGGCAGCCCTTGATGGTTTAAACCATGATGCTTTTTTTTTTTTTAAGTTAATGGTCTTTTTATTGGGGGGAAAAGATTAGCATTTACAACTTGGAATGGATGTAATTTCTTGTGCAACAGGGATGATGGTTCTGCTGAAGTCCACAGTCAGCCCATTCTGCTTACTTAGAAAGGTGCTAAAAACAGAGTCTAAGACGCTCCCTGATGGAAATTTCTTATTACAACCTCGTGTGACTGGTGGCAGCCTGGCATTCATGTCGCCTCCTCCAATGCACGCAGCGCTACAACGACAAACACACTTGTCCGTCTGTCACTCCTTCTGCACACCGTCTGGAGAGAAACACTTTATCAACCTGCGTGTTTTCAGGAGAGCGGCTATTGACAGTTTATACCAAGTAGATCCCATCTGAAGTCTTTGCCTTTGTTTTCCCGTTTTTTAAAAAATTTTAATACAAATGCCTGACTGTGCTCAGTTGTCAGCTACACGCATGGATGAGTGGCCAGCCCAAACAGCACATTAATCATTAGCAAATGGAACTTTAAGGAGTCCACTAAGTGCCTCCTTATCATTAAGGCAGTACAAGTATTTATGCTGTAAAAGTGATGTAGAGCCTGACCACAGGGGACAGGACCACCAACCAATGCAAAGACTCTGGGTGCGGACAGAAGGATCCTTGACACTCTGTTGTGCTCTCTAGAGACACAGAATAAATGAACTTTCTTTTCTCTTTCTTCTTCCTCCCCCCCCCAAAAATGCAAGGAAAACATTCTGTTTGATTTTCCTGGAGGGGTAAGGAGTTGAAAGTAGATCTTTATTTTAAAGTCACCATCTCTATCTATTTTTCATGCTTGCCTTGGCATCTCCATCAATATCTATGGTAAAGAAAACGGAAAGCACCAAAAAATGGGTGGAACAGGAGATGCCCATCAAGTGAGATCCCCCGGCTCAGAAAGACAGGATTCCCACATCCTCTCGTGTGATCATGCTGATCCCAGCTGCTGCTGCAGCTCCTCCTCCTCCTCTTTTTCTTCTTCCTCTGTTTTTGATCCTAGCTTCTAATATTTATATATGTGCTCAGTTCTGCCATGACCCTGAAATTGCTTTGTACAGCTGAATAGGTAATTTTCACTATCCGTTCAACAAGTGATGGACATATAGGCTCATTAAAAGTGCAAAGTGGTACAATCATTTCAAAGAATCTTTCTGTAATAGGTACCAAAATTTAGGATATGCATGCCCTTGGACTTAGCAGATTCATTTCCAGAGCTCCATTAAATTATTCCCCCAAAGACATAGTAGGCAATATCAATGGTCAGCGGAGACATCCTTCAATAGGCGAATAGTAAATTATGATGTTTGCACAACTGGGAAATTATGGCAACTACAAAAATGAATAATGATAACTTACTCTTGTTTTGGAAATTATATCTATTTTATAACAATAGGACATTAATATTAATGAGTTCATCATTGCTAATTTTTTTGTTTGTTTTGTTTATACAGGGAGCCATATATCCCAGGCTGGACTAAAAAAATCACTATATAGCTCAAGATACATGACCTTGAATACCTCACCCTCCCACCTCTACCTCTCAAATGCTAGGATTATAGGAAAATAGCATCAAACCAGGTTTACCTTTATTTTTTTTGTCTATATTTTGAGATAGGGTCTTTCTGCAACGCCCTGGCTTTCCTGGAACTCACTATGTAGACCAGACTGGCTTTGAACCCAAAGTGCTCCACTTGTCTCTGCCTCCTGAGTGCTGGAATTGAAGGCATGCACCACACACCGAGCTTCAGGCCAGGTTTATTATTGCTACTTTTGTTTTTATCTCTATCTGTCTATCTATCTATCTATCTATCTATCTATCTAATCATCATCTATCTATCCATCGTTTGTGTGTGTGTGTGTGTGTTGCACCTGTGCAAATGGCAGTCTAAGAACAACTTTTGAGAGTCAGTTCTCTCCTTCTATCATATGGGTTGGTGGCAAACACCTTTACCTGCTGAGCAAGCTTGCCAGTTTACTAATTACAAATAAATCAAAAACAATGTTTCATAAACAGGTTTCCTCTATTTCCTACTAACGTCTTCATTCTTTCCCAGGCTCCATTCTGGAAACAGTATCCCCCAGCATATTCCAGAAGGAAACAAGAAAGAATGTCCTTCCAGCAGGCTGTAATGTTACACACACACAACCCCAGCACGTGGGAGGCCGAGGCCGAAGGCTTGAGAATTCAAGGCCAGCCTAACCCACACAGCAAGAAAGAACCTGTCTCAAAAAAAAAAAAAAAAAAATCCTTGAATGGAATTTAAAAAAAAAAAAAAAAAAATCCTTGAATGGAATTTGTCTGATATTTTTCTCATGATTTCTCATGACACTAGGATTATGGAAGAGGCCACAGAGGAGGAACTCCTGACGCTATCCTTCCCATAGTTTCGCCTTTTTGCCAGAAATACGCAGTTGGAAGCACAGCCCTTCTGATCCATTTCTTTCTGCTAGTAATATACATCGGAGGCCCCTCCGTGTCTGTTCACAGCGCGTTCCCTTTTCATCACTAAATATATATTCCATTCTCCGCATGCGTCGCCCATGTAGCCATCCTCCAGGTGCGTGTTAGGTGCGTCCCAATCTTGGCCGGTATGGAGAGCGCAGCTGTCAACATCTGTGTGCGGGTTTTTGTGGGGACGTCCCAATGAGTGCACTTGCTTGATTGCATAGTAGGAGTCTATGAAGTTTCTAAACTGCCTTCCCAAGTCGCTTGGGCCATTTTACCCTCTTCCAGCAGCAAATGTGGTACTGTTGCTCTGTAGGGACACGAGTTATTTTGGTCACAAAAACTATCACAGGCACTAGTAAAGCTGAGCCCGATACCCCCCGCTGATGTATTTGTTACGTTTCCTTCGTGGTAAATCTCCTTTTCCCTTCCACACTTCACAGCTGTGTTGTATCCTTTGGAAAGATGTCAGAATGCACGTCCAGGTTTGAGGATTAACATTATTATAGGCCCTGTCGTTGAGAGTACAGTGTCTACATAAATTATCTGGAAGATTCTTCATGGGATCTGTCCTTTCCCCATTAGTTTGTTTATTCATTTGTTCAGTTGGTTCTTTATATTAGTTCAGACCCATGGGTATTTGTTTTATTCTTTGGATTACTATCCAGAACTGTTTTTATTTTGTTGTTCGTGGTCTAGCCTCATCCATCAGGAGCTTTATCAGTTGGTCCCTGTGTTTGTGCTAATCTAACATGGGTGAATACAAACCACGTAAGCAAAAGATCTTTGGGAGAATCTCGTAATATTTGTGTTTCTAAGACCAAAATTCTGAGAACCTCCAGAGATCTCTCACCCAACCTGGCTCCAGGTGCATTTGGTTCAACAAGAAGGGGCTGTGGTCCTGGCGGAAACTTTCAGCACCACCCTCTTACACTTTTGGGAACACCTCCCTTCTCCATATCCACCCCAATCTGAATCCCAGGGATCCCCGAAAACGAAGTTCGGCCCGCCTGTTCTTCCAGAAAACGCCACGGCGGGGCGCCCTGCCCACGAGGTGCAGTCCAGCCGGCCTGCTCGCGTCGCGGGTGGCTGGGCGTCTGTGCTCCCTCAGCCCTGTCCCCTTCTAGCCCCGGGCCCGGCGACCTGCCTCACCCCAGGGTCTGTAGCGTCTCTCTGGACCACGTCCGCGCGGTGTGGCGCCCGGAACGGAGCGATCGTGGCCAGAGTGGTAGGAGGGCTCGACTCCCCTTTGCTCCCTCCGGCCCTCCGCTGTCCATCCCGGCAGACAGCAGCGGGACGCTCCCGGGCCGGACCCCACCCTTATGGGTTGGGCAGACCCTTTGCCAGCGCACCAAAAGCCAGCGATAAAAAGCTGCAGCTGGAGACCTGGCTAATTGATACAATAAGTTTTGTAATTGCCTCGAAAATAAGGTAATGATTTGGCAGAGGGAATGCTTTGATCTTATCGGTCCAGAGAGATCTCTCCAAGGAAAGTTCAGGGACTGGCTGGAGGCTTCCAGTTTGGAGGGCAAAGCCGAAGGCCAGCCGATTTCCCCCCATCCCTCCCCCACAGTCCCTACGTCCCTCTGGAAGTGCGGAACTCTTCAAGAAGGAATTGACAAGTCCTTCTGAGATGACTGCAGAGTGCACATAGTTAGGGTGTGGGATATGCGTTAAAGAGGGGTCGATTCTGAGCCATTCAGGAACAGGGGGATGGATGGCTGAAACGCATAATCCGGTCCTGGAGGGGCTGCGAAGGAGATTGGAATGACGGTGGAAGGCTAGCTTGGCTCAAGCCTCAGACGTTTTTCATTCAGGGACGGTTGCTGATTTGGACTTTACAGGCAGGCAGGAGAGGGTACCAGAGGAGAGAACCTTGTGTGACCTGCCTCTCCAAGAATACACACACACACACACACACACACACACACACACACTGCACTGTGGGTGTCCCTGCCTGGCAGAGGCCCCAGCACAGAGAGGATCAGAGAGATGACCTAATCTGGTTTGTATCCCAGACATGGCCCCAGAAAGGGACCGAGTCTACCCTGGTGTTTAAGGGAGTGGAGAAGTGAGGAATCTTGCTTTGAGGGCCTTGCTGGCTGACACACTGGCGTCCCTAAAACACTAGGGTCCAGACTTCAGGGTCAGATTTAGGAAGCAGAGCGGCAGAGGCCTTGGAGCATAACAGAATGGGGCATGCTACGCTAAAGGAAGAGCTGAAGACAGAGGAAGCTCCACAGGACAGACTAACTCTCCATGCCCTTGTCCCACCAGTGGAGAAACGGGTCCCAAATGGGAACATGACTTGTAGTCTCGTAAACAACGCACAACTACTGTGTTGAAAGGAGAAAGTGGCCTTTGGTCTTTTCTGGCTCGTATATTGCGGGAGCTGAAGAGGAACAGAGGAGAGACGAAAAAGAAATAAAATCATAATCACGTATCAGAGACTGTCTAGAGGCAGGTAGGCAAGGTACCCAGAGAGTTAGAAAGCTCCAGAGCAATGCTTGTTTGTTTGTTTGGTTAGTTGGTTGGTTTTTAAAAAACCAACATGGAGAAATAGATGAGGAAGGGGCGGGCAGAGAAAGAAGGGCAAGGCCTACAGTAGTGTGTGTGCTCGAACACCCACGCCTGTGAGCATTCATGCATGCGTGTATGTGCACACACACACACACACACACACCACAGGGTCAGGGGAGGGGGTAGATGACAGGCAGACAGAGGCCAACCCAGAGGTAGCCAAGTGACAGGGTTAAGAAAGGGAGACAGAGAAATATATGAACAGAAAGAAAACACAAACACATCAAGCATGGTAGCCACACCTTTAATCCCAGCACTTGGGAGGGAGAGGCAGGAGAATCTCTGTGAGTTCAAGGCCAGCCTGCTCTACAAAGCCAGGAAGGACTGTCACACAGAGAAACCCTGTCTCAAAAAAAAAAAATCAAGGAAGAAGAGGAGGAGGAGAGAAGAGAAAAAGAAAAGACAGGCAAAGGCAAAGGAAGACAGGGAACTAAACCTAGCGAGGAGGATAGGACTAGACAAATGCAACCCAAGAGAGCAGCACCCCAGAGGAGAGATGGGGGTGCAGCATGGGAACCGAGGAAAGCCATGTGAGAGGAGTGTCTGGAGCTCTGCGGATTTGGGCTCACTGGGAGCAAGTCTAACATCCAGATCACTCCAGGACCCAGACCAGGCAGAGAGCAAGAGAGAGCTCAGTGCTTAGCTTACGTGACACAGGCACATTGGGAATGTGTTGAAGGCAAATGGAAACCTTCCTTGGAGGAGAGGCTGGTCAGTGACCACCCAGGATCCCAGAAGCACACCACTGTTCTCTCACAGAACCTGGGCCATCTGCCCAGGATGGCCCTCAGCCTGCCTACTGCAGCTCAAGTGGGAAAAGACTCCAGACCACCCTGCCTACCCCCAAGGTCCCATTTCCCTTGTCCTCCTTTCCTGATGTCCCTTCTCCCTTAGTTGCTTACTTCTCGGTCTTCTGGGGACATGTTTGCTCTGCTCAGCCACTTACTAACCGGGAGAAAATGAATGCTGTACCACCAAGTTCCCTGATTCGGGGCTGGGTGTTCCTCCCGCAGCCCCACCGAAGCCTGATTGGCCTAGCCTCTTTAAGACACATTTCATGTCTTACCTGGAAACTCATAAATACCCAACAGAGACCGGAGGGGCTGTGTAACAAGCCTAGATCCCAACAGCATCCCCCTTTAAAGTCCTTGGGTTCCTCTCAGGTTCCTCTTTTCTTCCCAGATACCTGCGGTGGTGTAGCAGGGCAGGAGGTGGGGCACTGGGGCTGCTGTAAACCCTCTTCACTTCAAATGGGACCTGCCTTTGCCTGCAAAGATGGCTCAGGAAAGGCATCTGGGGGCCCCTTGTGTAAGTAGCAAGCTCAGGAATTCCTTGACTTTCATCCAACACCCCCCTCACCCCCGCGGCAACCCCTTCTTGGCCTTTCTCTCTCTCTCTCTGCTCATGACCATCCACACCGCCCCCCCACCCACCCACCCACCAGGAAAGAGAAGGTCATCACCAACCAGGGCCCCAGGGAATGGGGGTTTTCTGGAAGATAAGCCAGGGTGGAATCAGAGCTGTTCACCCACAACCCAACTCCCCTTAGCTCATCTCCACTCCCATCCAAAGGCCAGTGGCAATTTAAAGTCAGGTCAGCACCACACAAAGTAAAGGAGAAACCTTGGCCCTCAGTGGCCTCAGTAGAGATCAGAGCCTCAAGTGAGCTATCAAAGCGGAGAGCGGAATCTCCTCCTTAGCTACTCTTTTTCAGGAGGACAGGGGAGTATGGTGGCACTGCCAGGTAGAGAGATGACTTGGAAACTGTCTGCAGTAGGTCCCAAGGAATTTGACACTGTGTGTGCACATGTGTGTCGCTAAGGGATGGGTAGGAGGGGGGCAGCCTGGAGTCCCTTGGGTCTCTGTTATTCCTACTGTTCATTATATCTGCAGCACACCGCCTTGAACCCAAACCAGGCTTCGATACCACCTAAGGCCTTCTCCTCTGCTTCCTTTAGGATGCCCTCACCAGCAGTAGGCACAGAGTAAGTGCTTACTAAATTTAACCTGACCTTATGCAGGGTCCCGCAGACCGGTGTCTGACTCTCAAAGCAGAGACTTCTCCCAGGGGTGGGGGATGGGGATAAGCTAGAGGAGCAAGGCTGAGCCTCCACTCTTGACCCTCTCTTTCTGGAACCCCGTAACAGGCCCTTGCGTGAGGAGCTGAGCTCTCCAATAGTGTCTAGGACCTCGAGACTGGAAGTTTATTTTGAGATTTGAAGCTCCAAAGTGGCAGATCCCAGAAAACCTCTTCTCTGGCTCCGTATTTGTTCTCTAGTTAAGTGGTTGAGTGCTCTCGCTGGCTCCTGCAGCCCGGGGATCTGGGGACTGGGTCTGGTAGAGGGGGAGAAGGAGGACTGGACGGAGGGAACAAAGTTCCATCCTGGGTTTCCTACTCTAGAGCAGAGGTTGGCCTGTGAGCCGTGAGGAGTCTTGTCTCTTTGGTCCCCTCCCTTCTTCTTGGAGCTGCTGATGTTTTTGGGGGTGGGGGCTCATATCAGAAATATACTTTAAGAGCTGAGCATTTGTGTGTGCCAAGACTTGGTCCCACTCAGCTATGAGGATAGCTGGAGCCAAAGAAGGGGCCTCAGAAGCGACTCTGGGGCCCATGTGGGTGAGTCCACTCAAAGTTCGATGCGATCATCTCCAGCTCCCATCCCCAGGCTCATATGTACAAATAAACACAGGGCCAGAGTCACACCCAGGTCTAAACACACAGGGGAGTCTGGGAGAGGCATCCAAGCTGGAAGACTTAGGCCCTGCACAGGGGTGGAGCTGGGCTGGAAGGAGGGAAGAGTCCAAGGAAAGGGCTTCAGCCAGGAAAGAGCCTGGAGTCACAGTCTCCTCACCTGCTTCCTGCAGGGAAACGGGCCTTAGAGTCCTTTCCTTACTAAAGACATCTTACATAGACTAACAGGGATAACAGAAGGGGAGGGAAAGGACACTGGCCAGCTGCTGGCTCCACGTGCTCTCTGAATTCGCCCTTTCTCCTTTCCCATCCAGAGGCAGCCCAGCCCCACTTACACCCACACAGCCCACTGGTGGTGGGAACCATTTTCCCCCACCTTAGCTCACCCTCCGTTTACTTACCTGAACTTTAGTCTTCCTCTCTAGGGCACGCCACTCCATTTGGCTGACGCCTTTGATGGCCCCTCTACACCAGCCCACTCCTGTCTGGGGTGTCTATTGACTCTCTCCTTGCGAGGCTCTACCTCCCAATCTGCCCTGCTTAGTTCCTGCCTCCTCCCTTCCTCTCATCGCTATCACAGGGATGAGGCCCTTTTACCCTGCCCTCTTCCACATTCCATGTGTTTCATTTCTAACGCTTATTATCTATCTTGCTCAATAAAATGTAAGCTCCATGAAGGCAGTGTGTATTCGTGTGTGTGCATGTGTGTGTGCATGTGTGTGTGTGTTCTCCGAGCCCAGCACAACCCTAGCAGGTAAAAGGAGATAATTGTGGAATTGATGCCTATACTTGGCCTCTTACCACACAAACTTCGGGCGAAGGACGGAGCTGTGGGAGAGAGGGCAGACGCCCCCCTGAACTTTTCTCTTTTCTCTGTCTCTGAGATGTCTGCAGCCAGCTGTGCCCTGTCCTTCACACTCCAGCATCTAACACCCCCGACCAAACAAGGACTGCCTGACAGTGAGCTTGGGGTTAAGGTGGGTGGGCAGTCACCAGCATGATGTTTACATCAGGACTTTATAGTTTAGATAAAATCATGAGGAGAGGCACGAAAGACACCTGGGAATGGGAGGCTAGGCAGGAGAAACTGAGGCTGAAGGTCAGACCCTAGAGGAAGTCTTCAGTTGAAAGGCTCAGGGTTTTAAAGAATTTTTTATGCTTCAGTAAGGATCATTGTGCCCCCCCCCCCCCAGGGCTTCTTCCCACCCAGGGAAGCACGAGCCCGTTGTGAGGTTGGGGCGGGGTAATAGAAAGGGAGCAAGGAGTCATTTTCAGCCCACAACACCTCTCCACCTCTTCCCAACTTCCCACCCCCACCCCCGGGCTCTGCGGGATTGAGGGAGAACCAGCGAGCAGCAGAGAAGAGAAAGGGTGGAAAGGGAGGGGAAGAGAAGGCATCAGGGCTTCCACTCTCTCCGCAGGACCCCCACCCTGGCCTCTGGTGCGGGAAAGCCGCCCAGCTGTTTCTGATTCTTTCCTAGTCGCAGCTCCGCCCGAGGGGGTGGGGGACGGAGATACCGGGGGAGACCGAGCTCGGCCGAGCCCCAGTCGGCCGTCAGGGTGACCGCAGCATCCCGCCGGCAGGTGTGTCTCTTGGGCAGCTTCACGACCCTGAACTGGAGAAAGCACCTAGGATTGATAGGAGCTGGGTCTCAACTATGTACGGGACGAAAGAATAGTGTCGGTGTAGTGGGTAGGAGAAGCGGGGGGCGATGAGCCCTTGATGAGCGAGTCCCCCGCCCGAAGCCGACTGCCCACGGCGCCCGAAGGCAGAAGGCAGAAGGCAGAGTGGCCAAGGGAGTCCCGCTGTCTGGCAACTCTGGCTGGCCGGTTGTCTATCCGTTTCCCAGAAGCGCAAGGATAGGAAAACCTGAGGAAAGCGCATCTTCTGCGCTTAGCTGAGGTTTCACCATAGTTTAGGGGGCGAGGAGTGTCCGCGACCCTCCCCCCACCCCACGCACTGGGTGAGCCTGGCCATCAAACCCAGCGGTCCGCGCTGCTGAGTGAAGGGCGCTAGGACCCGGAGGCGTGGCGTGGCGTCGGTAGGGACAGGGGGCTGCAAGCGGAGAAGAGCCCCGTCGCGGGTGGCCGGAGCAGGTGAGGGCGCGGCACGGTGGCGCTCGGTAAAGCCGAGGGGGAGTAGGCAGCCGCCACACCTAGGGCGCCGCGGAGCACCCGGGCTGGCGCGGGCGGAGCCGAGCTGAAGGCCGCGCGTGTCCCCGGCCCCGCCCCGCCCCGTCCAATGAGAGCTGCGGCCGCAGGGGCTGTCCGCGCGCTCTGGCCCCCGCCGCACTCCGCGCTCCGGAGCCACTGCCACCGCACCCGAGCCGCCCACACCCGGCTCAGCTCTCGTCGGTCTCCCACCCTGCAGCTCGGGAGCTCTTGGGAACTCTGTGCCCCGTTCCCGGACTCCGCGGTCCCCGGTTGTCCATAGTCCCCATGGCCACCCTGAGGGGCGAGCTAGGAGACGCCTGAGGAAGCCCAGACGGTACCCGTCCACGGCCCTGCGGGCTGCACGGCGGGAGTCTGCACGGAGCTATGCTGAGGCCGCGGGGTGCGGAGGAAGCCGCGCAGCTCGCCCCTCGGCGTGCCCGCGTCCTGGTCCCCGCATCCAGACCCGCGGCCCCCGACGTGTCTCCGGCTTCCACCCGCCTGGGTCTTGCCTGCCTGCTACTGCTGCTGCTGCTGACTCTGCCGGCCCGTGTAGACACATCCTGGTGGTGAGTGTGGCTCTCGGGGCGGTTAGGCTCAGGGAACGAGAGTCCTGCTGCAGGCACCGGCTGCTCAAGCACCAGGTAGCTGCCTGGGTGGAACCGGAGACTATCGGGAGGGACAGTCCCAGAGGTCTCCAGAGGCTGGTAAGGGGATGGAGAGAAGAGCGCTGAGCATCTGGAGCGGGGTAGCTGAAGTCCCCTAGACTGCTATATTGTGCCCCCTGTGTTTCTCCTCAAGCCCCTAGCATGGAAGCTACTATCTGATTCTCTCTCAGGGTTGGTTCGAGGAACCAGTCTCCTCTCCACATCCTGCAGTAGCTGCTCCACGCCGTCCACAGTCGCTGCCTTCAAAAAGCCTTCGACCACCTAAGATTTCCCCAGGGGATGTGGAAGTTGGGGGCAGCTGGCTGGGACCTACATTCCTCTGCTAGTCTAGGCCACACAATGAGGCAGTAGTATCCACAGCAAGGCTTAAAAGTGAAATCGAGGCACAAACTATTCCCTTTTCCCTTAATTCCCACAATTGAAACATTAAACACTTGGGGTTGCATAACCCAGGCATTTGTCATCAGCCTCGGCTTTGAGGGTGTAATTTTGAACACTGATGTCCCTTTTTGCTTTCCTGCCCCAGATGACCTAACCTTCCACCTCTCCCCTCCAAGCCCCAGAGGCTTCTAAAGTCTCGAGTTTTGAGAGCCTCTCTTTAGATCTCTTGTAGGCCTTGGTCTTCAGACACCTCCAAAAGGCAGATGGGGCAAAAGGTGTCCAGGATCCACAGGGTGCCTGCTGTGTTCTTGGTTGAATTCCCTACCCAGCTCCAAGACTGGCTGAATTCCTCCAGCCCCGCAATGACACGCATCCTCTTCCTAGAAAGGGGGTATTTCAGTCCAGAATTGGACTGCAGAAGGATTCAGCCCCCTCATCTCTTGCCTCCTCACCCCTCCGATCAAACTGGCTTTTGGGGCTGGACGCGAGCCCCTCTCTAACAGGCAGTGCTCCCTTTCCCCCTTGCTCTGCTCCTCCCCCGAAGGAAGCACCCCCATCTCACCGCCACCCCCACCTCCCGCAAAGTGAGGTCTCTCCTCATGCACCCTGTGGCTTTTCTTGTCTTGACTAGGAATCCGGGCTGGAAGGGTGAGGGGTAGCTGGCTGAGGGGCAAGCCGGCTCTGGCTGCAGATTCCTATCATTTCAAGATGCTGCTCTCTCCACCCCCACCCCCACCCCTGTTTTCCTGTTAAAGAAAAATCTTTCTTTTGGATCTTTTTTATCTCTGCAGTGTTGGGGAAGGCAAGGAGGGGGGTTCGGATGGGGAAACAGAGAGGCCTATATCTTACATCTGGCTTGAAACATTCCTTTAGAAGGGGAAAGAGAAAGAAAGAAGATGGGGCGGGGAGCCTTTCAGTGACCAGAGCGAGATCACCCCCACTCCTCCCCAGCCTTTACCTTTATGGTGCAGTTTGGCTGAGGGCTTACATCTTCAGGGTCTCTGTGGAGAAAGCACGGAAGCACCGAGTACCCAGTGCCCACCTCTATCTGGCTCTCATGTTAACTGGCTCTTTGAAACACTTGAGACAATCTGGTGACCTGTGGATGCTTAGATGAGGAGGTAGCTCTCTGAACATCTCTGCATCCTGGTGTGGTTCCTACAGACGCACCTGCAGCTCTTCTATTTCCCATCCTCCCCCACTTGAGTACGATTTTCCCTGTCCCATTTTCTTTCTCCTTCCCTCCTAGAGTGGCTCCCGTTAAAGATGCTGGACCTGCTACTACATGGAAGAGCTAGAGAGGGAGGCAGGTGACATTCCTGTAGACAGCATCAGGGCAGGATGGCGAATGCAGGGACAGAGCTCATTCCTACCTCCTCGCCCTTGTCTCATCACAGCTATAGCCAAAAGCGTCTGTCTCAGTGGCCACCACTTGTAGGAGAAGGATGCCTGAATTGGAGAGGCAGGTCTGGCAGGATGATTATCTCAAGCTCAGCAAGGCTAGTACTAAGTACAGTCCCTGGAGGAGACGGACATCTATTGACTCAGAGTGTCCGTGTTTCACAGCAGAGCAGAGGGCCATCCATCCCTGTGATTTACAGTCTGATCCTCACAGCCTAGGATTTTCCCCTTTCCTTTCCAGTGACTCCTCTGTCTCTTTCCTTAACTCGAAGAAGATACAGATAGTTTCTTCTCAGTCTATGGCAAGACATGTGGAGAGTCCCAAGAGCTAGATGTATTCTTGGGCTCAGAAAGAGTGCATAGAGCAGGGTTGTATTAGTACTACCATTACTAAACACACACCCTGCACTGAATCTTTACTAAACTGCAGGCTCCATAGCCAACTGCCTTGGTAGGCATCATCTTTATTCTCCAGGATAAGACTGAGGTAGCTACTGTTATAATCCCTGTTTCACCAATGACGAGATTGAGAGATAAGGGCGAGGCCGGGCGGTGGTGGCTCACGCCTTTAATCCCAGCACTCAGGAGGCAGAGGCAGGCGGATCTCTGTGAGTTCGGGGCCAGCCTGGTCAACAAGACCTAGTTCCAGGACAGGAACCAAAGCTTCAGAGAAACCCTGTCTCGAAAAAACAAAAAACAAAACAAAAAACAAAAAAAAAGTGAGAGATGGGGCGAAAGAGAAAACAAAAACAACTTTCTGGGTATGGTGATGCACACCTTTAATCCCAGCACTTGAGAGGCAGAGGCAGGTGGGTCTTGGTGTATTCCAGGCCTGCTTCATCTATGTAGTAAATTTTAGGTCAGCCAGGGCCACAAAGTGAGACCCTATCTCAAAAATAAGGAAAAACTGCTTAATTTTATATCAATTTTTGGAGCTTTATGGTTTTATTTCTAAACAAACATGTGTGCCTCTTTTGCTCCTAGAATAAAAAATGGATTTTGCCTGGGTATGATGATATACTTTTGTAATACCACCACTCGGGAGGCTGAGGCTAGGGGATTGAAACTTTGAGGCCGTCCTTGGATGTACAGTGAGACTCTGTCTCAAAGAAACAAAACAACCAACTACAAAAGCCCCTTGAGTTTGAAGTCAGATGGCTTCCCTCATCCTGGTTTCCCCCCAAGTGTCCCTTGACAGTGGGATTTCCGTCAATATCCCTGAACCCAGAATGTAGAGATTTCCCTACGCCACATCCTGTGGCATCCTCTTGGTGGTTTGCTGTTGTTTTTGAGACAGCGACTCACTATGTATCCCTGACGCTCTGGAGAACTCTACACAGAGCTTCAAACTCACAGAGATCTGCCAGCCTCTGCCCTCTGAGTGCTGAGATTAAAGCTGTGAATCGCCACTCCCAGCTAAATTCTAAGTCTTAGCCAGTGGATAAACACAAAAGGAGGGGGCAGAGATCCCTGGCTCCATTAAAAGGACAGAAACAGAACGTCTGCAAAAGGGTAGACAGTGTTGACAAGAAACCAAGCTAACTCATTTCAAGAGCTGGTGACTGGCTAGGGGGAGAAGGAAGCTGGGGATAATCAGAACAAGCTGGTGTTTATCCACTAGCTACTAAGCACCTACTATGTGCTAGAGACATTTCTTGGCACTGGGGATGCTGACATGCCAATTATGATTCAGTTGACCTGGAGGCAGAGTCTAAGACTCCCAAGAAGCAAGAGGCTGGTGTCGGGTCTGAGTGACTTTGTCAAGGGAAAGAATTGGTCAAAAGCAGGTGAAGAGAGCGCTCTGATGCAGAGGTGGGGAAGGAAGTGAAGAATTAATTTCTGAAATGGAAAACAGGAAGTCAGGACTGAGGCATCCTCTCCTAGATGATGAGCTGAGGGATGGCATGAAGTCTTTGTGCCCCTAACAGCTAAGCTCAGTGACTGGCCCATGGCAGGCATTGTGCAAGTGTACACATGGCAGGCACTGTGCAAGCATGTGTTGAGCTGAGGGAAGGCATGTGCAAGCGTGCACATGGTAGGCATCGTGCGAGCTGAGGGAGATGCGTTCAGCTTCAGGCTCAGTATTATTGGCGGTTCCCACACTTGATTACAAGAGGCAAACCCCATGAAGGGTCTTGAAGTAGTTACTTGGGAAGTAAGCAGGGTAATAGGAAAGTCTAATTACCTTCCCATCTTAGATACTGAACAGATGTCCCATGCCCACTGAGGATGCAATACAAAGGATCAATGTGGGCTACAGCAGAATGGATTAAAGTCAGACCACAGGAAGGCCCTTTTGCCAGAGTTTGGCTTGCCCCACTCCAGACTGTCTATGAGGGCTGGATCATTGGTCTCTCGTTCCTATCCACCCTCCTTCCTCCAAGCCCCAGATAAAAAAACAAACACCCATTGCCTAGATCAGTAATCTGGGACTGAGCTGGGGAAGCTGACCGGTGGTGAGACAGGGACGAGCTCCAGCTCCGATGGTTTCAGTACTACAAACAAAGCACCAGGGCGGTGGGCGGACGCAGAGCTGTGCGTCAGGCAGGCCTTTCCGGCCTGGCCCAGCCTGGGCTGTTTATTTTGTTTGTTCCTGGAAGCTGCTGCCCTGACGGACAGTGCTGGGGATGCTGATTCCACGGGATTTGTTCTTGGAGGAACAGCCCTCTAGCCCTCCGCCCTGGACAGATGGGGCTCATCACCCCCGCTGAGTTCCCCAAGAGGCAAATGGCAACCCTCCTTGTGTTTGCCTGAGTTCCTGTCACTGGTGGTGATCTAGTCTGTGGGTGAGGGCCGGCTGTGGGAATGTAGGGGTGGGGGTAGGGCTCAGGGCTGGTGGCTTGCCCCTCCCCTACTGGCTGCTTTCCCTTCTCCCTACTCACGTCTAGGCCCACTTTGTGGACATTCCCAAACCACTGGCTCATTCATAGTTCAGACCAAAGTTCTTCTGTTGCAGTGGCAGCTGATTGCTACAGCTCCCACCTGTTCCCAACAGGAAAGCATGGAATTCCATTTCAAGTGTCGGTACAAGAGAATAGAACAGAACAAGCCGGGCAATGGTGGCGCACGCCTTTAATCCCAGCACTCGGGAGGCAGAGGCAGGCGGATCTCTGTGAGTTCGAGACCAGCCTGGTCTACAAAACTAGCTCCAGGACAGGCTCCAAAGCCACAGAGAAACCCTGTCTCGGGGAAAAGAGAGAGAGAGAGAGAGAGAGAGAGAGAGAGAGAGAGAGAGAGAGAGAGA